ACAAAACCAAAGTAATTAGAAAGCAAGAACAGAAGTTCTCTTTAAATTCATGAGTTGGTAATGCAGCCTGGGAACAGATATCCTCTCCACAGGCACAATTAATGCCATTTCTTCACCATACATATTTTCAATTTCTTACTTGGCGCTACAAACTAACTCCAGGAATATTTACGGCTAATTATGAAGCATGTGTTACAATCTCAGCGTTTTGTTTGTTCACTACAATAATGTATCAAAACATCCCCATGACTTACAAAGTCTTCCCACTACTTACCTGAACAAATTGGCAGAATAAACTCACTTATGTTGGTTATAAAAAGTGAAAGAACAATAACTAAAGAAAACAGCTCATGTAGGCTTCTTCAATTAAAACAAAATGAAATGTTCTAACTAAAACATAACTTAATACACACATTATGAAATTACAGCCAAAAATTATTTTGGGCTCACTACTGAATTTCATAAAAATAATCCTTTTTTTTTTGAGACGGAGTTTCGCTCTTGTTACCCAGGCTGGAGTGCAATGGCGCGATCTCGGCTCACCGTAACCTCCGCCTCCTGGGTTCAGGCAATTCTCCTGCCTCAGCCTCCTGAGTAGCTGGGATTACAGGCACGCGCCACCATGCCCGGCTAATTTTTTGTATTTTTAGTAGAGACGGGGTTTTACCATGTTTACCAGGATGGTCTCGATCTCTTGACTTCGTGATCCACTCGCCTCGGCCTCCCAAAGTGCTGGGATTACAGGCTTGAGCCACCGCGCCTGGCAAAATAATTCTTATAATTTCTGACCAGCTCACATAGTATTTCATGAAGTAAAACAAAAACAGAGAAACAAAGAAATTATAGCTCTAGCATGAGCACCAGACAAATAAAAACAGAGAATTTGCAGGGGAGATTTTCAACAACAATCCAATAGACTTTATAGTAATTAATTAGATGAAAAATACAGATGTGGTTTCAGAATGGTTTAGGTTTATAGATTTCTAGTAAATTATCCATGGTATTAATAAAATCTTCTTTGTTCTAATATTGCTATTTTCTTTGGAAAATAGGTGCAAACTGACACAAAATAGAATTGCTCGCTCCATAATTTTCTTAAACCTAATGTTTACCTTTAGAGCAACACATTTATGTATTTAACTTCATATAAATGAAACTAAAGGCTGTATGAGTTTGCAGGAAAAGATGCCACATGTTGAAAGATAAACATAAAACATTTTTAAAGTACTCATTCAGGACTCAGAAATGTATGAATTATAATTATACTCTGATATACTACAATCATAATTTTACATTTAAAAAAAAATTAAAGTGTATAACTGGATTGTGTATAATACAAGGGACAAATGCTTGAGGTGATGAATAACTCATTTACTCTGGTATGATTATATGTTATATGCCTATATAAGAAAATAATGCATCTATATCATAGATAAATACACATACTATGTGCCCACAAAAATTAAAAAAAAAAACAAAACAATAAAATGCAACATATGGAAAGGATATTCTTCAATGCATTTGCTATTTAAAGCCATTGGAAAAAGAATACTAAAAATTTCATTCAACTATGTTACCATTGTTGCCATCTTTTACCTACAACCTTGAGTAAGGAGGGACAGGTTAAAGTTGGTGGCATAATAACACTTCATTCAAACAATTATTTCAACACATTAACAATTTTGTTTAGTTAAAAAAATTATGTTCCCACATAATATTAAGAGAATTTAAAAATTTACTGCATTTTATTACATAAATGTACAATTGGTAAAACAATTTACTACTAAAATAGAGATTATTTTTCTCACTACGATGCAGAAGAATATTACACTGAACACCTACCTCATGCGTCACTCAATATTGTCAACTACAAAAAAGCCTCTCTGCTTGGATTTTCACTGTGGATCTTTCATTTCTGTCCTCTTTCTTTTAAAGTTAATGAATAGGCCGGGCACAGTGGCTCATGCCTGCAATCCCAACACTTTGGGAGGCTGAGGTGGGTGGATCATGAGGTCAAGAGATAGCGATCATCCTTGCCAACACGGCGAAACACTGTCTATACTAAAAATACAAAAATTATCTGGGCATGGTAGTGTGCACCTGTAGTCCCAGCAACTTGGGAGGCTGAGGCAGGAGAATCATTTGAACCTGGGAGGTGGAGGTTGCAGTGAGACAAGATTGTGCCACTGCACTCCAGCATGATGACAGAGTGAGACTTCATCTCCAAAAAAAAAACCCAGAAGTTCATGAACAATGCCTACCTAATGAAAAATAATCTCTTATCTCTGATGCAGCAACAATTCATCACATGCTTTCACATAAACAGAAATGTTGAAATAGTATGAAACAATTTGAGTCGAACTATTATAAGCTTTTCAAAAAATCTATACTTTTTTCAAGTGAAAAAATATACTTTAAATGTGGTATCTCTTCAAAAATCTTCTTTCAACTTATATACAAAGAAATTCTCTAAGAGGTTCAACTTTGGATTGCTTATTATACTTAATACTCCAATTTTCTGTAGTATCTCGTGTTAGCTGGTTAGTTCTACTGTAAATCCTGGTGTTTACATAGTCTTAATTTTAGACTAAATATTTCTCTAATTTACTGCATCTACAAAATGTCTTCTCGTATAAACTCTCTGGTGCTTTTTAAGCTGCAGTTTTTGAACAAATGTTTTTGCACATTTATTTCATTTGTAGGATTTCTCTCCCATATAAATTTTCTCATGTTGAAGAAAGTCTCCTTCAGGGTCTTCCTCTATTGCAAGATGCGCACAATTAAGATCCATGATAGAAGTACTGCCACTACAACCCTCTTTATATTTGTATTGTTTGTCTTAAGATTACTCTTCTTCTCTTTAAAGGTCTATATTTTCTAAAAAGTCTCTGATCATAAATTACATTTATAATGTCTTTAGGAAGTCTGAACTTTGCTAGTTTAGTTAGTAAAATGTGAGTAGATATGACTTTTCTACAATTTTTATATTTCTGCAACTTTTCTCAAGTATAAAGGCTATCATGTGCAAAAAGATGAGCATTGGTAAAGAGTTTTGTCACAGTTTTTGTATTTCCAGGAGATTTCTTCAGTAGGAATTATATACAGTAAGACGTGACAAGCATTTGAAAGCTTTGCCATTGCCACATTTTTCTTATTATTATGGCTTTTCACCAATATCAGTACTCTTATATTTAGAACAGACAGGTGTGCTTAAAAGCTTTGTCCCATTTTTTCATGTTTATAGTTTCTCTCCAGCATGAATTATCTTATGATTTAGAAAGGACTGAGGAAGATTTAAAGACTGCCACATTATTCACATTTATAAGACTTTCCTCCAGTATGAGGAATGTTTATGACTTTCCTCCAGTATGAGGAATCTTCTTATGTTTAAGAAGCCTGGGGTATGGCTTAAAGGCTTTGCCACATCCTTGACATTTCTATGGTTTTATATCCAGCATGAATTTTCTTATATTCATTTCTCGTATCTTCTCAGTAAGTTTGTGGAATGAATCTTCAATGCCCAAGTATGAATATTCATAAAGGCATGCAAACTGTCTTAAGGCTTTGCCACATTCTTCATATTTTTAGAATTTTTCCCCAGAACAATTCTCTTGTGTACAGTAAGGGTCTCTTGAGAGCCTATTAAAGGCTTTTCTTCATGTGTAGGCTTTCTCTCTGGTATGAATTCTCTAATGTTTAACAAAGTTTGAGGATGTGGTAAACACTTTGCAACATTCTTCACATGTGAAGGGTTTTGCTCCAGCATGAATTTCCTTATGTTCATTAAGGGTTGAGGACCATTTAAAGGCTTTGCCACATTGTTCACATGTGAAGTTTCTTTACACGATGAATTATATTTATTAAGGGTTGAAAACCAATTAAACACTTTGCCACATGTGTAGGGTTTCTCTCGAGCACAAATTTTCTTTCTCTTTCTTTCTTTTAGACAGAGTCTCACTCTGTCACCAGGCTGGACTGCAGCAGCGTGATCTTGGCTCATAGCAACCTCCAACTCCCTGGTTCAAGATATTCTCCTACCACAGCCTCCCGAGTAGCTGGGAGTACAGGTGCCCACCATCACACCCAGCTAATTGAGATGGAGTTTCACTCTTGTTACCCAGGCTGGAATGCAATGGCGCGATCTTGGCTCACCACAACCTCCGCCACCTGGGTTCAGGCAATTCTCCTGCCTCAGCCTCCTGAGTAGCTGGGATTACAGGCACACGCCACCATGCCCAGCTAATTTTTTGTATTTTTAGTACAGACGGGGTTTCACCATGTTGACCAGGATGGTCTCGATCTCTCGACCTCGTGATACACCCACCTCGGCCTCCCAAAGTGCTGGGATTACAGGCTTGAGCCACTGAGCCTGGCCCCCAGCTAATTTTGAGATGGAGTTTCGCTGTTATTACCCAGGCTGGAGTGCAATGGCGTGATCTTGGCTCACCCGCAACCTCCGCCTGCTGGGTTCACGCAATTCTCCCACCTCAGCCTCCTGAGTAGCTAGGATTACAGGCACGAGCCATCATGCCCAGCTAATTTTTTGTATTTTTTTTTAGTAGAGACGGGTTTTCACCAAGTTGACCAGGATGGTCTCGATCTCTTGACCTCGTGATCCACCTGCCTCAGCCTCCCAAAGTGCTGGGATTACAGGCTTTAGCCACCGCGCCCGGCATTTTTTTTTTTAAGTAGAGATGGGGTTTCACTGTGTTGGCCAGGATGGTCTTGATCTCCTGACCTGGTGATCTGCCCACCTCGGCCTCCCTAAGTGCTGGAATTACAAGCATGAGCCACCGCACCTGGCATTACAAATTTTCTTATGTTGATTCAGGATTGTGGACCATCCAAAGGCTTTGCTACATTCTTCAAATTAGCAGGGGTTCTCTCTAGTATGAATTTTTTTATTCATGGATGAGGACTGTTTTTTGTCACATTCTTTATATTTCTAGGGTTCATTTCCAGTTAAGAATTTTTTTATGTTCATTCAGATTTGTGGACCATGCACAGGCTTTGCCTCAATCTTCACATTTGTAGTTTCTCTCCAGTATTAATTCTCTTATGTTTAGCAAGGTTTGAGAATGAGGTAAAGAACTTTTTCATACTGTTGACACTTCCAGGGTTTCTCTCCAATATAAATTTTCTCATGTTCATTCAGTTTTGCGGACCATCCAAAGGCTTTGCCCACATTCTTTAAATTTATGGGATTTCTCTCAAGTATGAATTTTCTTATGTTTATTCAAGTGTGAGAACCGTTTAAAGGCTCTGTCACACTCTTTACATTTGTAGGGTTTATCTACAGTATGAATTTTCTTATGTTGACTCAGGAGTGAGAACTGTTTAAAGGCTTTGTCACATTCTTTACATTTGTAGGGTTTATCTGCACGATGAATTTTCTTATGTTCATTCAGGACTCTGGACCGCCCAAAGGCCTTGCCACATTCATCACATTGTAGGGCTTCTCTCCAGTATGAACTTTCTTATGTTCATTCAGTTTTGAGGACTGTCTAAATGCTTTGCCACATTCTTCACCTGTGTAGGGTTTCTCTCCAGTATGAATTCTCCTATGTTTAGTAAGGGTTGTGGACCTATTAAAGGCTTTGCCACATTCTTCACATGTGTAGGGTTTCTCTCCAGTATGAATTCTCTTATGTTTAGTAAGGGTTGTGGACCTATTAAAGGCTTTGCCACATTCTTCACATTGGTAGGGTTTCTCTCCAGTATGAATTCTCTTATGTTTGGCAAAGTTTGAGGATGAGGTAAAGATTTTGCCACATTCTTCACATATGATGAGCTTCTCTCCAGTATGAATTCTCTTGTGTCTAGTAAGGGTTGTAAACCTATTAAAAGCTTTGCCACATTCTTCACATTTGTAGGGTTTCTCTCCAGTATGAATTATCTTATGTTTAGCAAAGTGTGAGGATGTGGTAAAGATGCTGCCACATTCTTCACATGTATAAGGTTTCTCTCCAGTATGAATTCTTTTATGTTCATTAAATATTAAAGACCATTTAAAGACTTTGCCACAGTCTTCACATGTGTAGAGTTTCCCTCCAGCATGAATTCCTTTATGTTGAGTGAGCTGCGAGAACTTCTGAAATGATTTGCCACATTCTTTACATTTAAAGGGTTTCTCTCCAGTATGTCTTGTCTTACATTTGTTTGAATTTAAAAACTTATCAAAAACTTTGACACGTGCTTTACATTGAAACATTTTGCTCTGGGTAGTTGACAACCATTCAATAAATTCATTATAACCTCCTTTCTGCACCTTACACTCATTCAAACTGTTACAGCCTTTTCTTAATTGTAAATTCTCATGTCTACACTTCTCATATCTTCTCAGTGTAAGTTTGTGGAATGAATCTTCTATGCCCTCCACTGGCCAATGGTCTTGGGTGAAAGGAGAACACATAGCTGAAAGAAAAAATAACAAATTATCCCACTTACTAGATTCATGTGAATGTACTTTACAAATCTTATATAATTATACTAAGTACATTAGTAAGATGGCATAACAAAATACCACAGGCCATAATTCTTTTACAGACATTTACATGTGGCCGGGTGACTCGTGCCTGTAATCCCAGCACTTTGGGAGGCCGAGGTGGGTGGATCACAAAGTCAAGAGATTGAGACCATCCTGGCCAACATGGTGAAACCCCATCACTACTAAAACAACAAAAATTAGCTAGGCTTGGTGGCACATGCCTGTAACCCCAGCTACTTGGGAGGCTGAAGTGGGAGAATCACTTGAACCCAGAAGGCAGAAGTTGCAGTAAGCTGAGATCGCGCCACTGTCTGGTGACAGAGTAAGACCCCATCTCCAGCTATACACATGTAACAAACATACGAACAAAAACGCCTTTGTGTGAAATCTATAAATGAGTTAATTGTACGCAATGCCTCATGTAAGCACAATGCCAAGAGACATATGGAACAGGAAGGAAAGTTTGTTACATTTACCCACCAACAGCTCTTCCTCCTCCCTAATATAGCATTGTGCCCTTAGGAGTAAACTGTCAACTCCTGGCTTCATCCTTTAAAGAGAAGAAAACTGCTGACACACATATCCTTACTTCTGGCTTTTGGGGGTCTTAACAAAAAATGGTTTCTGTCTCCAATAACACAGAGTAGTGAGAGAAGTGGTGGTATACTTTGAAATGTTTCAGGAGCAGACTGCAGTGCTAAATACAGGCAACAGGTAGAACAAGTGATTAGAGACTGTTTTTTGTTTTTTTGTTTTTTTTTGACACGGAGTTTCGCCCTTGTTACCCAGGCTGGAGTGCAATGGCGCAATCTCGGCTCACCGCAACCTCCGCCTCCTGGGATCAGGCAATTCTCCTGCCTCAGCCTCCTGAGTAGCTGGGATTACAGGCACGTGCCACCATGCCCAGCTAATTTTTTGCGCTTTTAGTAGAGACGGGGTTTCACCATGTTGACCAGGATGGTCTCGATCTCTCGACCTCGTGATCCACCCGCCTCGGCCTCCCAAAGTGCTGGGATTACAGGCTTGAGCCACCGCGCCCGGCTAGAGACTGTTAAGAAGAAACATGGCCTGGCGCGGTGGCTCAAGCCTGTAATCCCAGCACTTTGGGAGGCCGAGGCGGGTGGATCACGAGGTCGAGAGATCGAGACCATCCTGGTCAACAAGGTGAAACCCCGTCTCTATTAAAATACTAAAAATTAGCTGGGCATGGTGGCGTGTGCCTGTAGTCCCAGCTACTCAGGAGGCTGAGGCAGGAGAATTGCCTGAACCCAGGAGGCGGAGGCTGCGGTGAGCCGAGGTCACGCCATTGCACTCCAGCCTGGGTAACAAGAGCGAAACTCCACCTCAGAGGAAACATGAAAAATGCTTTTAACTGAAAAACAAACACAAAATTTAAGACAAGACACATCCCTAGAACATGTATGAGTTTCCCATACTCTCTATCAAAGACAACTGGTTTTAGATTATGTCAGGAAAAAGCTACATTGTAAAGATTGTGACAAACAGCTTTTTGTTAATGTTCAAATAACAAGCAAACATTACAATGTATACAAAATATTGAACATGGACCAACAATTCAAAAATTTTCAGAAAAAAAATGAAGTACAAATTTTAAAAATTTAACGTGAATAAAGCCCAATGAGCTAAATGGTAATACAACTAAATATAATTTTAAAAATCAAAATATTAGTGAAAACATTAAAAATATTTTTAAAATCATGGAGGTGAAAGATACAAAACTAATGGCTGAGGAATTTTCAAAAGTAAAAAAAGGATGTAAAAAATGAAGAAGTTCAGCTGGGCATGGTGGCTCAAGCCTGTAATCCAAGTACTTTGGAGGCCAAGGTGGGCGGATCACCTGAGGTCGGGAGTTCAAGACCAGCCTGACCAGTATGGTAAAACATCGTCTTAGGAAAAAAAAAAAAAAAAGAAGCTCAACAAACTTCAACTAGGATACACACAGAGATTTATAACAAGGCACATATACAAGCGAAGTTTCAAAAGTCAAAGAGAAAATGGAGCAGCAAGATAAAACGTATTGTGTCTTTATTAAGTATGTTCTTGTAAGATAACCAAGTGAGTCTGTCAACAACATTTTTTAAGAGAAGAGAAAGCTGTATATAGTTAATGTGCTGTAGGAAAAATAACCTTCTAAATGAGAATAATAAAACCAGCAAAACTGTGCTGAAAATCAAGAAAAGTAAAGACTTTTCAAGATAACCAAATGCTGAAAAAGTGTATTGTGCACACCTGCCCTATAAAAAAAAATGCTGAAGTATCTTCCACTGAAAATAACATGATGCAAGAAAAACAAAACATAATCATATGAAAATACGTAACTTTCTGAAAAAGATACGCACATACATGAAGTTCTGTATCATATCATAATTAGTGCTAAAAAAACTTTAATTATTCTCTAAAGTTTCAAAGACACAAGCATAAAATGATTATAACAGTTCACATAATCTGGTAATAAAAATACAACATAAAAAATATGATCAGTGACATCAATAACAACATTGAGGGCAGATGCAATAAGAAAGAATTTTCAAATGAAACCAAAGTTACATTTTTACCAGTTTAAAATATATTATTTTGGCCAGGTACAGTGGCTCACACCTGTTAATCCAAGCACTTTGGGAGGCTGAGGCAGGTGGATCAACAAGGTCAGGAGATCAAGACCATCCTAGACACAATGGTGAAACCCCATCTCTACTAAAATACAAAATGTAGTGGGCATGGTGGCATGCAACTGTAGTCCCAGGTACTCAGAAGGCTGAGGCAAGTAAACTGATTGAACCCAGGAAGCGGAGGTTGCAGTGAGCCAAGTTCACACCACTGTACTCCAGCCTGGGTGACAGAGTGAGACTACATCTCAAAAAAAAAAAAAAAGAAAAAAGAAAAAAAAAAATTTTATCTTCAGAAATTTACAGAATTCCCAAGATACCACAAATAAAGTATCTGTATAGTTATGCCAAAAGTATAAGAAGTCTATCAATACAAAAATCTAGAAGACGAATAGGAAGACAGAAAAAGAAAATAAGGGACAAAGATAAAATAATCCAGGAAAACAATTAATTAAACAAGTAAGCTTTTCTATTTCAGTAAATTATTCAAGTATTTATGAAGTAAACGTTCCATTCAAAATACATGCACCAAATAAAGTGATTCCAAAAATTAAAGAACAAAATGTGGGTGGGCGCGGTGGCTCAAGACTGTAATCCCAGCATTTTGGGAGGCCGAGGTGGGTGGATCACGAGGTCAAGAGATCGAGACCATCCTGGTCAACATGGTAAAATACCGTCTCTTTTCTTTTTTTTCTTTTTTTTGAGACGGAGTTTCACTCTTGTTACCCAGGCTGGAGTGTAATGGCGCGATCTCGGCTCACCACAACCTCCGCCTCCTGGGTTCAGGCAATTCTCCTGCCTCAGCCTCCTGAGTAGCTGGGATTACAGGCACACGCCACCATGCCCAGCTAATTTTTTGTATTTTTAGTAGAGACGGGGTTTCACCATGTTGACCAGGATGGTCTCGATCTCTTGACCTCGTGATCTACCCGCCTCGGCCTCCCAAAGTGCTGGGATTACAGGCTTGAGCCACCGCGCCCGGCATAAAATACCGTCTCTACTAAAAATACAAAAAATCAGCTGGGCATGGTGGCACATGCCTGTAATACCAGCTACTCAAGAGGCTGAGGCAGAAGAATTGCCTGAACCCAGGAGGCGGAGGTTGCGGTGAGCCGAGATCGCGCCATTGCACTCCAGTCTGGGTAACAAGAGCGAAACTCTGTCTCAAACAAATAATAATAATAAGAACAAAATGCAACTTGTTTTTCTACAAGTCACTTGAGGTCTAATGATTAAAGGAGACTGAAAAAGGCAACATGAAAGAAGACATTTCATGGAAACAACCAAATAAGAGAAGAGGCCCAAGTAATGTAACACAAAATACATCTTAAGTCAAAAACTCTATTTCATAAGATATACTTTAACTAAAAGCTCATAAGGGGCAAAGGAGAACATTAAACAATAATAAAAAGGTTCACTTATTGAGAACCCATGACAAATGTGTGTAGACATATATTAATGTGTGTAAGTGTGTGTGGGTCAAAATGCAAATACTGACAGAATTACATTAGGGTTACATTAAGGTTCAAAAGCAAATACTGACAGAATTAGGGTTCAAAATATATAAAGCAAATACTGACAGAATTAAAGATATAGGGAGCAATATAATTTTAATAGGATATTCAATACTTCAATTTCTGTAATGAATAATGAAACAAGACAGAATATTCACAAGGGAATACAAGAATTGAAAGCAGTATAAAACAATTATGCCTGCTCAACATACAGAAACACTGCTCAACAACAGAATAGCTCATACAATATTCTCCTTGATAGACTACATGCTAGGGCACAAAAAAAGTCTTAACACATTTTTTTTAAACTGAAATTTTACCGATTACTTTTAATGAGAAAATTGGAATGAGAGTAGAAATAAAAAAAAAAAGAATTCACACATTTATAGAAATTATACAACACACTCTTAAATATGCTTTTGTTCAATGTTTAAAATAATGAATACTATGAAGATGTCTACACTGCTCAATGTAATGTACAGATTAAATGCAATCCCTGTCAAATTTCTAATTAAATTCTTACAGAAAAAGAAACAGCAACACCAAAATTATATGGAATTTCAAGAAACAATGAAGCACTCAAAAATTTCAGAAAGAGATACAATGTGAAAAATACCACAGTTCCTGATACCAAAACACATACAAAGCTAAAGAATTAAAACAATTTGGTAAGTGTGTGACGGTGCACACCTAAATTGATCAAATCCGGCAAAAATATAAACTCTCACATATATGGTCACATGAAGAGTAATTTGAACACTCTTAATTGTAGCACTGTTACTGAAA